AAATAAAATTCAATACTTTTGATCAAACATATATTAATGCAATTAGTTTAAATACTTTTATGAGTAAAATTAATCAAAACATATGCAAATATTTAAGTGTAAAATTGATTTTTTATTATTCTTGTAAATTACGGAGAATACGATAAATCTAATAGATTGTAGATTTATATGAATTGATTGGATATAACAAATAAAAAAAGTATATGTTTTATAATAATGAAATGTATAGATATTTGTAATTGTGATAAAATATGTAGATTACATCATAATAAAGTTATTTGTATAGTGTACTAATCTAAATACATATATACATACAATAGATTATATTGATATAAATATGATAATGAAAACTTGTTAATGTATAAAAAAAAATTAAAAATAGATGATATTGTAAGTCTAAAGTGTTACATTTAGTTGGATTTATATTTTTAAAACATGTATTAATAGACTTATATTAAAACAAAATTAATGAGAATCTGTAGAGATTTCCACGTGGCATATAGTTTTAAATGAAATATTTTGATTACTTAATTTAAACGAGGTGTTCCTTAAATTGCTGTTTGAGTGACACATATGATTTTCTTTTTAGTGTCTCCTCAATTAATCTGTAGAAGATAGGTTTCTCTCTTATTTTCCTCATTTTTTGGGTTTTTAAAGAAAAACACCTCATGTTCCTATCAAGACAAACATCAAGATATTATGTTAGGGACGATGACAACTATTCCAGTGTAGTTTCGACGTGATTTCCATCGGATAAGTGTTACTTAACACTTGATTTCCATCGGGTAAGTATTGAGTACTAAAATTGTGGCCAAAACCCGAAACCCTAATTTTATTCTTTTTGCAGATTTCTTCGATTTTATCTTTTCGATGGACAATGACAAATCGGACAACGAAATTGAGACCTGTGGTGAGATTTTCTTTTTCAATGTGGCGCGTATGTACATGAATGTGTTGGTACATTTGTTATACACTTATTATAAGACGACAGATTTGTGTATAATATAATTCGGAAATACCAACATATTTATTT